AGACAGAGCCTCAAGCTGTCTCCCTGAGTAGAGTGCCATGGCATCACAGCGCACAGCAACCTCTAACTCCTGGGTTCAAGCGAGTCTCCTGTCTCAGCCTCCCAAGTAGCTGGGACCACAGGCATCTGCCACAATGCCTGGCTATTTTTTTTGGTTGCAGCCGTCATTGTTGTTTTGGCAGGCCGGGTTGGATTTGAACCCGCCACCTTAGCCACTTGAGCCACAGGCGCCGAGCCAACACAGATGAATCTTAAAAGCATTATGTTATCTTTGTTAGTATACGATGAGTAAAGGAAAGAAAAATATTATGTCTGGTGAAAAAAGTCACAAAAGATCACACATTGATTCCATTTATCTGAAATGTCCAGACTAGGTGAATCTATAGAGACATAAGGCAGAGCAGTGCTTACCAGGGGTCAGGTGAAGGGCAGAAGGGAAAGTAATTGCTAACAGGTACTCTTTTTAGGGTGATGAAAGTTAAATAGGTTCTAAATTAGTAATGTTAATTGTACAACTTCATGAATATGCTAAAAACCACTAAATTGTACACTTAAAAAGGGTGAATTTTATATAAAGCTATTATTTAAGAAAAACAACAATATGGATGATGACAAACCCTTTCCCATTTTTAGGCCCTGGCAATGACAGCGAAGGGAGTCAGTGTGCAGGAGAGAAGAGGCGAGGGAGCACCCACCTGGCCCGCAGGTAGTAGAGCAGGTGGTAGCCAATCTTGGGCTGCTTCTGATATAGCTCGGAAAGAAGGTCAAGAAGCAGAGAGAAGCTACTGTTGTCTTCCTGCATCTGGCACAGGTTCCTGGGGGAGAAGCAGAGCATTACCAAGGTGGACTCTCCTATGAGCTTCTGGGGAGCATGGGCTCTGTGCCCACTGCATACCTCCTCCTTCCCAGGGTGGGGACTTGCGTGCTTGACAGGGAGGATCAAAGTCAATGCAGTATCTCCAACAGCTGGGTGCTTACCTAAATATTAGGTAGAGAGGCTTTCCTACAGACTCCTCCAGGGACCTACAAGAAGGAGGGTTGTACATGAGAGTCCACATGAGCAGAGGTGGGCTGCAGGTAGGTACTTTGGAGTCTGTTCCTTTCCTGTCCAGGAGACAAACCTCCTATTGATCCAGAAGCTTAGTAACAGAAAAACAGGTGCCTAACAGAGAGTCACAATTTGAGGCTGTCATCCTCATTGAGGATGAGATTCTGTGGTTTTCAGGGAAAGTCCAGGGTTCAATTCCACCTGACTTAGATTGGGGCTACTGGGCCCAGCAGTAGGGGCTGAAGCAAAGGGAGGGGACACTAGTCTCCTAATACACACAATGTTGAGTGGGCAAAACCAAACCCTTGTTTAAATGAATCAATACATAGGAGAACAAAAACAGTGAGTGAAATTTTCTTTCTTTCTTTTTTGTCATTTTCGGTAGAGTGCTATGGTGTCACAGCTCACAGCAGTCTCAGACTCTTGCCTCGGCTTCCCGTGTAGCTGGGGCTACAGGTACTTATTTTTTTTTTTTTTTTTTTTTAAGAGATGGGGTCTTATTCTTGCTGTTGCTCAGGCTGGTCTAGAACTCCTGAGCTTAAGCAATCCACCTGCCTCAACCTCTCAGAGTGCTAGGATTACTGGTGTGAGTCACCACTCCTGGCCCCAGATTAATTTTCTTAAATTCATAGCAAGGTACACTTTAGACTCAGACTATAACCCAGGAGTCAGGGGAGATGACCCTTACTCCTCGGTGATCTCCTCAGGCAGCACCTCCCCTCGAAAGTGAGCCTTGAAGAGCTCCTGCAGGCAGGAAGCAAGGACAGACAACTGTTCTGAGTCAAAGTCTTCCTGGGGGGAGACAAGGGAGAAAGTGTTACTACCTGGACTCAAGCCTTCCTGCTCCCACTATCCCACAGGCTTGGAACTCATCTGTTTCCACCCCCAGAGGGGACCCATATGGGGAAGGGGAAGGAGAGGGTTGGCATCCCTGGGAAATGTCTGCATGAGGAGCTCTAAGCTGGGCAGGCTGGGCTGCTTCCCCGCTACGGGGCTGGGTTCCTCCTTACCTCCAGGACCTGGTCCACGATTTCCTGCATGACCTCACATTGGGCCTCTGTATCACTGCAGGACAGAAGTGAGAGGAAATCCCAAGGACATTGATGATAGCAGAAGGCAGGACACACATGCAGCAGTGTGCACAAGTCACAGAGACAGAACAAAGGAGCTTTGTATAAACCCCAGCTTGGGCGGGGGAGGCTACAGAGCAGAATTTTCTACTCTCTTGGCAGAGGCCCAAAGAGAAATCCTCATCAATCTTGCTTTGGTTCTTAGAGGCTCTTCTCCCCACAATCTATGGAGTAGGGACCAGAGATGTGAGGCAATCAGGCTACCCTTCCCCCAGCCCATACCTCCAAGACGTAAACTTCAGAAAAAATGTAATGAAGCTCTCTACACCTCTCCATACATTTCCACCAAGTCTCCCTCCAGCCCACTATCCTGCCACAGACACTGAGCACTGGGTGAGAGCACCTGGGACTTGCAGAGGAGGAGCACACTCTGTACCCACCTTCCCTTCTGTAGCTGGAGCACTTTGTCCCGCAAGGACTCATCTAGCTGGTCCAGGTAAGGGGTGATATCAACTGGCTCCTCCACAACGGTCTCCTTGATAGGGTGGAAGCGAAACTCTCTTTTCTTCCCTGAAGGGGATGAAGTGGTAAAAAAGTCATTTTGCTCAGATGCTAGAGACAGAGATAGTACCCTGAACTAACTGTCCCTTCCTCAGGTACCCTAAGTATGCACCTGTGTACTCAATGCAGTGAGGACCCAAACCATCCCTGCGCATGCACGTGTCCTAGTTCTCACAAGCACACAGAGCAGGGGCACTTCTTTCTCCTTCCTGCCTTCAGAGTTGAGCATAGGGCTCTGCACTCTGCAGTCTCATCCAGTAACCCTGTTAAGAAAACTTAAACTCATAGGCAAAGGTAATAAAGACCACAGATAGGCTGCCCCTGTGAACTAGTCTCTCTGGTACACCCTGATCAAGCCCATGCTGCTGGCCTCACCTCTGCTGTTGAGGTCCTCCTCATCGTCACTGAAGGCTGCCTCCGCATTGTCATAGCAGCTCTCATCCTTATCCGACATATGGTTGTCCATCTCCATGGAAACTGGTTCCTCAATTTTAACTTGGGAGTAAAAAAAGACAAAGCATTTGATGGCCTCTGTGCCCTCTCACATGTCCTGTGCTTCTGGGAAGGGAGACTTGGGGGGCACATGGAAAAATAAGGAATTTTTTTTTTTAATAGTTTTTGGCCGGGGCCGGGTTTGAACCCACCACCTCTGGTATATGGGGCCGGCGCCCTACTCCTTTGAGCCATGGGTGCCTCCCAAAATAAGGAGTTTTCGACCCAAGTAGATTACGGATCCTGTCCTCATAACCCTCCACAACCCACCACGGATGGTGCCAGGAGTAAGAACAGCACAGGACATGACTCCTCTGTGTTCAGCTAAGAATCAGTGACTAGAGTAAGACTAGGGGCAGTACCAAGTGCTCTTTAATTTGAAACCAAGGTGAGATGTGCTGCTTGGCCTAAGACCTTTATTGACAAATGAAGTTCCATAAAAAAAATAAATAAAACCAAGTTGAAAATAAATAAAACTAAGAATGTACTGCTTGGCTTAAACCCTTATCTCAAAATAAAAAACTATGCTGGGGAGATGGCAGTCTGGAACAAGGAGCAAGATTTGAGACCCAAGCTGACAACCTCTCATCAGAGGCCAGGGGTCAGGGGCCAGGGCGTAGAGCTACAAAGACAGAAGAGATGGGAAAGTCAAAGAGATAAACAAACATCACAAGAAAACCTTCTATCAAGAAGGGGTAAGGGAAAAAGTCTGAGTTAAGAGAGCAAGAAAGAACAGAAGTCAGATAGGATTAGATGAAGAGAGAGTACTAACAAGAGACAACATAAGAACAATTAGGAGGCTCAGCGCCTGTGGCTCAAGCAGCTGAGGTGCCAGCCACATACACCTAAGGTGGCGGGTTTGAATCCAGCCTGGGCCCGCCAAACAACAATGACGGCTGCAACCAAAAAATAGCCAGGCGCTGTGGCGGGCGCCTGTGGTCCCAGCTACTTGGGAGGCTGAGGCAGGAGACTCGCTTGCGCCCAAGAGTTGGAGGTTGCTGTGAGCTGTGATGCCACAGCACTCTCCCCAGGGGGACAACTTGAAGCTCTGTCTCAAAAAAAAAAAAAAAAAAACACGATTAGGAAGAAAAACTGAGGAAGGAAAGGCTGTGATGGACAGTGTCCCAGAGGTGGATAACTGCATAGGGACATCCTAAGCAAGATGCTGGTCTGAGAGCCTCTGATGGTGGGTCTCTCTTTTGATATAGGTGACAGAACAGAAGGGCTCCATACCTTCCACAGGTGGGGAGGGTGAGCTGCAAAACTCAGGAAACTTCTCTCTCAGCATTGCCCGAAGCTCTTTGTCCAATTTAGGATTGTCAAACAGCGGGGCCAGGTGTCTACAGGGGGCATAAACACAGGTTGGCATCAGAGCTCCTCCCTTCTAGCTCAACACGGAGTTGGTGAGGTCTATGCCCCACCCATGTGATTGGGCCAGAGTTAGACTCTTGGAAGGTGTCAACAGGGAACATAAAGACATCCGAAGCCCTTGTAATAAGGCAGCATGAGAAAAATTCCTCTAAGAGCCACAAGGACATAAGATAAGCAGCCTGCTATGAAATCAGTTCTTTTTATACCTGTCAAGGGAAAGGGCCAACAGTGATGTGGCAGGGTCTGGATGTGCCTGACCTATAAGTGACTAGACCTAATGGAAAATGGGAAAACAGACCCTTGCCCCACCCTCAAACTTCTTACGCCAAGACCCGCTTCTCCACAATGTGGTTGAGGGAGGAGAAGACGCCCTGCCGCACGTGGCCCTCCAGGGGTGGGTAGAAGTTGGGAATAATCTGGAAGGAAAGATGGGAGGGAAAATGAGCACAGGGCTCCATCCACAGCACTCTGCTGAAGCCCATCTAAAAACCTGCTTTGGTTTTGATTAGGAGACATTGGGGAGTATGGCTGCAGAGACAGGAGGGTTTCTGACTACTCTAGGCCACTAACAGAGGATACTCTGGACCTGGCCGCTCCTCAAAGAGACTAGATTCTGCCAGGAGTCCTCACCTCCGTGGTTGAGAAGCCCCACAGAAATCTGGGAAGATCCCTGGAGACAGTGGGAACATGGAAGGGACGCATCCACTAACTGAGGGGACAGGACCCATGGTCTCTTCTACACCCACAGTTAAGGAGCACGGGGAGACTCAATCACTTAATTCTCCACACACAGATGTGGGGAGTGAAGGAGCCAGGGCACTTACACGGCACATGAAGTCCAGGAGCGTGGCAGTGATAGCAGGGTGGGGCTTCATGGAGTGGTGCATGACCAGGATGGCTGGCTCTGGACAAGGTGGAAGTCAGGGACCCCCATCAGTCTATTTCCAACTCCGTAAGACTGGATGTCAGTGTACATGAATGGCTCTGGGGAGTGCTAGGTCTATTCCCACCATTCCTCTGAGCAGATCCAAGAGCACACAGCCCCCCAGATGGCTCTTAGCCCTTTGGTCCCTTCTCATCCCCAGCATTCAGCCTGCAGAAGGGAGGCTACTGGAGAAGAGCAGCAGGACGCGTGTAGCCTTGCCTCAGCCCTCCCGTGACCCAAACCTAAGGTTGTTGGGGAGAGGGGTGAGTGTTTAGTCTCATCAAAGCAATTCTCTTCCTAGGTCAAGGGAGAACTGACAAAGAACAAAGGAACTGCTCCCAGATAAGCCACCTACAGCCCTAGCACCCTGAGATTTACGACTGCTACCACCGCAGCAGGCGGAGGCAGGGTGAGCACCACTGCCTGGCCTCAGCCACCTACCTATGTTCATAATGCTGTCCTTGTCTGGACTAAAGAATAGCCAATCATAAAACAAAGCCAGCTTGGCATTAGAGGCAGCAACATTTGACTGGAAAAGAGAGGAAGAAAAAGTGGGCTAGTTTCACCAACCACCTCCTTTCTCTTCAGAGACCCAAGGCAGAGTGCAGGGCCAACCTGGCTGCTCTTCTACGGATTCAGCTCCTGGTAAAACAGGGAAGAGGGGCACCTTAGTCTGTGAGCATGAGTTTCCAGTGGCCTCACCAACCAAGAGGATGGGGACCAGCCTGGGCTCCTTGCATACCCACGTGTACATACCTCTGACCCCCACAGGGGAGGACATTTGTACTCAGAGTCCACTGACTGCCCCACGCTGAGGCAGCACTCACACCAGCCCCCGAGGCTGCCCTTGTTGACTCCCCAGGCATATTCCTGAAGAGAGACCCCCTAGGAATGGCCTGTTGTCATACTGAATCTGCACATTCCAAGTACCCAGTGAGATATGAGGAGTGGCCCTGTCAAGAGGTCAGGGGCAGCCAGATGCTGGAGGATGGACAGTTTCCCAGTAGGTATAGGGGGCGGGGGGAGCGCTGGGAAGGAAATGGCTCCACAGCAAGTCCTACAACTAGGACAAGGAAGTGTATCAGGCCGACACCAGCAGCGTGGAGGTGAGGGGCTAAAGACCATGAGCTCTGCATCTGTGGGAGGGACAATTCAGAGGAGTAGCCATTATGTAGTTTGCAGAACCGAAAATGAAAAGGCAGGGATAGCTTGGAAGTTGGCAACCAAAGGGTAGATGAACCTGTTCACCCCAAACCCATGTAGGAAATAACGAGTATAAGTTCATTTCTGGAGACTCAGAGGGAAGTTGGAATGAAAGGTGAAGGCATTAGGAACCAGAGTGAAAACAGGGCCTGTTAGGGTCCAGTGGCCCTAGAGTCAGTAAGAAGCATGGAGACACGGTGAGCATGGTGGAAAAGGCACCTTTCACGACCCCAGTGTCCTGTGCCCTAGGGCCCAGCACTCACTGTGCACGTGGTCAGGAGCCAACCAATGATGGCCCAGCGGGGCAAGATGTCTGAACTCAGCACTTCATTAGAAGGGTGGACCACCCCACAAATGTAGCGGATGAGGTCACAGCGCAGAGACTGACTATCTGGAGTCGACAGGTACTGGCGCTGGAACCAGTCCTGATAGCGCTTTTGTTGACCAAACCGTACCTGGGAAAGGAAATTGAAAAAGGAAATTTAGAAGAGAGAGTAGGGTCCTGATCAGAGATGAGCACCACCCAACTGCAGGCTTGACCCAACTGCAGGCTTGACCCAAACTCCGGTTCTTTCCACGACACACTCACTAGCTCACTGTCTCTCAAGTGCCCCTCCTTTGGGAGGACTTCCTGATTTAAAGGTATGCTGACAGCCCATGTCAGTAGCATACTTATTTTTGCCATTAAGCTGATACTATAATTACCCTCAACTGCAACTGTAGTTCATTCTTAGCTCCTCACTCCCGGTATTGGTCCCTGATTCTCCAGTTATAAGCATAACCTTTCCTCACTTTTTTTTTTGGAAACAGGCTCACTTTGTCACCCTTGTAGAGTGCCATGGTGTCACAGCTCACAGCAACTTTAATTCTTGGGCTCAAGCAATTTCTCTTGCCTCAGCCTCCCAAGTAGCTGGAACTACAGGTGCCCACCAAAATGTCTGGCTATTTTTAGAAATGAGGTCTCACTCTGCCTCAGGCTGGTTTTGAACCTGTGAACTCAGGCAATCCACCCACCCTGGCCTTCCAGAGTGGTAGAATTACAGGTGTAAGCCACAGTGCCCAGCCTTTCCTCATTTTCTTTCTTTTATCTTTTGTGAGACAGTCTCACTCTGTGCCCTGGATTCAGAGTGCTATAGCATCATAGCCCAGAGCAGCTTCAAACTCCCAGATTCAGGAGATCCTCCTGCCTCAGCCTCTCAAGTAGCTGGGACTATGGGACCTGCCTCAACACTTGGCTAATTTTCCAAATTTAGTAGAGACAGGGTCTTGCTCTTGCTCAGGCTGGTCTTGAACTCCTGAGTTCAAGTGATCCACCTGCCTCAGCCTCCCAGAGTGAAGGGGTTACAGATATGAGCCATCAAGCACCGTGCTTTCCTCATTTTCTTGAACAGCAAGGAATGTTCCTTAAGAGCCAAGAGTGAGGCTGTTTACCACTCAACACTGAGAGCTTCCTGCTGCTGAGCTACCCATCAGAACCATTATCCAAGGCACATTCTCTCCAAACTTTGCAGCAAGCTCTTCTCCCAAACAGGCTCTAGATCAGTGGTTCTCAACCTTCCTATTGCTGCGGCCCTTTAATACAGTTCCTGTGGGTCGTGACCCACAGGTTAAGAACCGCTGCTCTAGATAATCACAAATAGTTATATGCTCCTCCCTTCTATACCCTATCTATCAGAAGAATCAACCAAAACAGCAAAACCTAAAACAATAAACAAAAAGATACCTCTCAACTAACACTGCCAAACAGAATTTTGCAATGATAATAGACTCATAGCTATGGAAACATAGCTATTGTGACTGAGATTCTGAATTTCTCATTTACTTTACTAACTTGAATTTAAATCGCAACACATGGCCACCATGCAGGACAGCACAGATTTAGACAATTCTGCATGACGTGGGAGACCAAAAGCTAGCCAGGGCAATAGTTCTCTACCTCTAGACTGACTGCAGAGGGACTGCCTAAAAGTTTGCTAAAAATACAGATTCCTCAATCAGATTCTCTTGGAGAATGAGATATAGGAAGCGTCTTTAACCTGCTTCTCAAGTAATTCTGCCATAATACAGCCACATTTAGAAACCAAAAGGCCATTACTCTCTTCCTGAGACCCCATGGTTTCCCCGGAGTGACTGTGGGTCTTCCTAGAATGAATACTCTCACTTACCCTTTCATAGTACATTTCACACTTCTAAATGATATTTGTATATAATTATTGGTTTAATCACTGTCTTAGATAAGACTGAAAGACATCCCCTGTGTAAACACAGAATGAACAAGGAAAGCAGCCAGCACCCAGGTAGGTCACGGCACCTACTAGCCAACAGTGCCCTGGTCAGCACACAGGGGTTAACAGATCTGTAGAGTGAGGCCCAGCAAGCACGTCCAACTCCTCTCCCCACTGCAAGGGGCTTGCTTACCCGGGACGTCATGAAGAGGAGCTTAGTCTCCATGTCTGGGGTTAGACGACATGCTAAGAATTTTCGGGATGTTCTTGACTGAAGAAGCTGTAGGATACCTAAACCAAATGTGGAAGGGAAGAGAAAAGAGAGAAGCACAAGGACCAGAGTCGTGGAGGGCACCTGGGGAACCTTAGCCAGGCACTGATGGCCAGTGGTCTTGAGCATGGTGAAATCCCAAGACAAGAGGCAGGAAGGTCAAGCACTGGTACCAGAGAGAACTCTAACCAGCTTCTATGTGCTCTGCTCAGAACACCCACTATCCCCAGTTCCCAGCTATACCAGTTCTCTTCTTATATTGGCCTCCCAGTGCCCATTACTCATATCATTCCAGATGGCAACAAGTGGGAAAGTTAGGGGGAAAATAGGGGAAACTCTAGCCTCTTTTCCTGCTCCTCATGATCCCATGACAGGGTCAGAATCAACGTGGTGGGCTCGGCGCCTGTGGCTCAAGTAGCTAAGGCACAAGCCACATACACCTAAGGTGGTGGGTTCGAATCCAACCCGGGCCTGCCAAACAACAATGACGGCTGCGCCAAAAAAAAAAAAAAAAAAAAGTAGCCGGTGTTGTGGCGGGCGCCTGTGGTCCCAGCTACTTGGGAGGCTAAGGCAGGAGACTCACTTGAGCCCAGGAGTTGGAGGTTGCTGTGAGCTGTGATGCCACAGCAAGCACTGTACCCAGGGGGATAGCTTGAGGCTCTGTCTCAAAAAAAAAAAAGAATCAACATGGTCATGTGGCATAAACATAAACTCTGGAGTCAAAAAGGCCTGGAGCCTCTGTCATTTACTAGCTGTGTACCCTTAGACAAGTTGTTTAATCTCTTTAAACTTCAGTTTATCCACAAACTCTTAAGTTTATAAACTGGAAAGTAAAATGCACATTTTACAGGGCTGTCCTGAAGATGAGATGGCTGACATGTGTGCCTAACACAGAGAGGAACCTGATACATGTTCAATTTAAGGCAGGCCCAGCACTCTCCTCCCTTTTTTCCTGTCTTCCCAGGCCCTGGACAGTTGGTTCCAGTTTGCGTGTATGCACACACACATGTTGGGAGATGGGTGGGGAGCAAAGCTGTAGTTATTTTTCAGATTGTAGCAGGACTCTGGGAAAGGAAATGGGGATGAAAGGGTCTTGTCAGATAGAGGCACAGAGAGATTCTTTCTCTACCTCAAAGAGGATTTTGGCCAAGCTGGATCCTTGGAATTAAAAGGCAAGACTGCTCCCAATGAGGAGCCTTCTCTTACAGGATTATTTCTAGGCCCTCTGCTGACTCAGTCTCACGAGTTGGCCTCTAACTCCCCTGCCAGACTCAGCAAAGCTGTAAACTCATCATGGCTCATCTCCTGAGCTAAGGAGCTGCTGGGAGGGGAGGAGGAGTATCAGAGTTTTCTGTCTCACATTTTTCTGAGTAATTATGACAGCTGGAGTCTGCCAAGTAGGGGATGTCTAGAAACCCTATAAACTGTTCTGCACCTCTGCTGATATCCAGCTGTACATGACCCCATCCCTGCTTTCTACATCTGACAATGAAGACTCTCCTAACTGCCAACCTCTACCTTTTCTTTAAAAGACAGGATCTCACTATGTTGGCCAGTCTGGTCTCAAACTCCTGAGCTCAAGGGATCCTCCTGCTTCAGCCTCCTGAGTATCTGGTGGCAGCCACCATGCAAAGTCACCCTCCACCTTCCTGATTCAAGCAGGACACACACATTGGCTCCCATCTCTCAAAGACACAAAGCCCAGGCCCTTCCTTACCTGTGAACTGAGGACTCAAAGCCTGAGGGTTGTGGATAATATCTTTCCAAAGCAGTTCAAATTCTGGTATTCTGGCAACATTCTGAAGTAGTCTTACGAGGTCTCGACCAATCATCAAACATTCCATGAACTTGATGGGAAGGACGAGGAAAGGCAGGGGACCAGAAAGAGAATAACAACATGGATTGTTTACCTGCTAGAGGGAGGATAAAGGAACAACATGTTCTTGGGAGGGAAGGAAAGAGGGTTGAAGGGACTATATGATTTTTTCTAGAACCAAAGGATTGGTTGGCTCCTAGCTATTCAGGGGAAGAAGGCTGGAAGCTGCAGACTAACACCAAGGCAGGAGGTTAATGGGAAGTGCTACATCCCTGCTGGCTGTCCCAAGAATCTACTCCCCTCACACAGAACTGTTCCTATCCAGCTCATGTGAGACTAAAATGGGATTGGCCAAAACTCATTCTGTCCAACAAAATTCTGAGTCTCATTCTGTGGTAAGAAAAGTATTGTATCTGTGCAATTAAAACAAAACCTATTAGTATCATGTGGTTAGTGCAACCAAGGAACTAAATTTTTTTTTTTTTTTGAGACAGAGTCTCACTTTGTCACCGTTGGTAGAATGCTGTGGCTTCACAGCTCACAGCAACCTCCAACTCCTGGGCTCAAGCGATTCTCTTGCCTCAGCCTCCCGAGCAGCTGGGACTACAGGCGCCTGCCACAACGCCTGGCTATATTTTGTAGCATTTTGGCTGGGGGGCAGGGTTTAAACCCACCACCCTCAGTATATGGGGCTGGAGCCCTATCCACTGAGCCACAGGCACTGCCCCAAGGAACTAAATTTTAATTTTTTTTTTTTTTATTGAGACAGAGTCTTACTTTGTTGCCCTCTGTAGAGTGCTATAGTGTTATAGCTCACAGCAACCTCAAACTCTTGGGCTCAAGCGATTCTCTTGCCTCAGCCTCCCTAGCTGAGCTATGGGTGCACAGCCTGAATTTTAAAGTTTTATCTAATGTTAATTTTCATTTAAATTGCCACTATGGCCAGTGGTTACCATATTAGCTCAGCTCTAAGATCTCTCTCTTAGGAGATCTAATAATGGACAACTTACAGTCCCACCTGAACATGACATTCCTCAGGTGGATGTAACAGTGAGCATGTTGTACATCAGTGTTCATGATGCTGACCAGGGAAACGCCTGGGGTGCCAGCATAACAGAAACTAGGCCGTTTCACACTGATTCCTTGCCTCACTCTATCTGATGATGAAAAGCACCCGATCTTGAAGCACCTCCATCTCTATCGAGGTATCCCTGACCCAGGTGCACAAAACCAATAGAAGTGTCCCCTCCTGAGTCTCAATTCCCCACACTTGTTCATTCCATGCCCTCACCCGCTCCCGAAGCAGTGAGATGCAGAAGTCCACTTCCTTCTGCCGCAGGGCCTGGAGCTGGGCAGTCCCATGGTGGTCCACGATGAGGCGGAGGTAAGTGTAAATGGCCATGGCGATGAGGATGCTGCTTTTTAGCACCCACTCTCTGTAGGGAGGGAGGACACTGGCACCTTGCCGAGGGAGACCCAAGCATCTCCACTTCACTTTTGTCCAGGGCTGGTCCAGGCCCTAGTGTGTTTGATGATTAGACACTGACGAGGCCCTTTGCTGCTCTGCTCGCTTGCTCATGCTGTCTTGACTATCTGCTCAGCTGAGGGTCACTTCCTGATTTTCTCTACCAGGTGCCCCAAAAAGATAAGTGCTAAGTGCAAGCAACTTCTCCTTACCACATAACTACTTTGCTTCAAATAAAACATTTATGTGACTCATTTATTCAAACATTTGCTGAGTGTCTATCATGTGCCAAGAAATATGTGAAGTACTAGGGACAGAGATAAACCACAGCTTCTACTCAGCTCAAACTATAGGAAAGAGTTCCCTTAAGTGTCCCTAAGTTAGTAATTCTTTTTTGGTTTTTTTGAGACAGAGTCTCGCTTTGTCACTCCTTGGTAGAGTGCCCTAGCATCACAGCTCACAGCAACCTCAAACTCCTGGGCTCAAGTGATTCTCTTGCCTCAGCCTCCCAAGTAGCTGGGACTACAGGTGCCTGCCGTAACACCTGGCTATTTTTAGAGACAAGGTCTCGCTCTGGCTCAGGCTGATGATGAACCTGTGAGGTCAGGTTCCGCCTTGGCCTCCCAAATGCTGGGATTACAGGTGTGAGCCACTGCACTGGCCCTAAGTTAGTAACTCTTAAGTTTGGTACAAAAACCCCTGGGGATTTTCTTTCAGGACATTGGAGTTCTTAGAACACACTGTTCTACCCTGTTATCTGCTTGTGACTAGTGGCCACCTTGCCACAAAACTTTCCCTGGTGCTCTCTATAGTCACTGACAGTAAGTCATGAGCTCTAAATCACAATGAAAAAAAGAACCTGATTTTGGATGGCAAAACTCATCTTCCTAGGAGTTTTAGAATTTCCCTACAGAAAGGGTGGTGGTGAAAAAATTGTTTGTTCTCTGCTTCTTTAATAGGAATAGGGAGAAAGACATAGTCAGGAAATCCCTAAAACTCTAATGTGTTCTCTAAGTGCCAAAACTGGGAAGCTGTCTCCTCCAAGCAAATATTGTTTGTAATGGCTTTAGCACTATTATTTATTTGAGATATAAATGGCCAAAGCCATTATGTCTCATTATGTCACCCTCAGCAGAGTGCTGTGGCATCACAGCTCATAGCAACCTCCAACTCTTGGGCTCAAGTAATTCTCTTGCCTCAGCCTCTTAAGTAGCTGGGACTACAGGCACCTGCCACAATGCCCACAACAACTGGCTATTTTTATTGTTTGTTTTGTTTAGCAGGCCCAGCTGGGTTCAAACCCACCAGACCCAGACTATGTGTCTGGTGCCCTAACCACTGAGCTACAGGCACCCAGCCAGCTTTGGCACTTTTGATGGAAGGCAGGGAACTGGAGAAAGAAAACACAGTTTGATTAATCTAATCAGGCAACATCCCAATTCTAGAAAAGTGCTCAAGCTAATTAAAGACTCTGGCATTTTCCAGGCGGCGCCTGTGGCTCAGTGGGTAGGGCGCCAGCCTGATATATGAAGTGTGGTGGGCTCAAACCCGGCCCCGACCAAACTGTAACAACAACAGAAACAATAGCCAGGTGTTGTGACAGGTGCCTGCAGTCCCAGCTACTAGGGAGGCTGAGGCAAGAGAATTGCTTGAGCCCAAGAGTTGGAGGTTGCTGTGAGCTATGTGAGGTCATGGCACTCTACCCAGGGCAACAAAGTAAGACTCTGTCTCTACAAAAAAAAAAAAAAAGATTGGCATTTTCCATTCACAGAAAGAAAGCACTAGTCAAGGTCACTGGGGCAGGTCCTCTGACCCCCTTGCTACCTTTTAGCTCCACAGTTGGAAGGGAAATGGGAAGGAAGATGTAGAAGAGGACTTAATTTTCAACTTCTAGGTGCTCACTTTCACCAAAGGATTTGAGGTATTTAGAGCATAGGGAAAAGGTGGGGCAGTTATCTAGCTGATATTTCCTGTACAAGGACAAGCAGTATCTGGCACCAGGAACACAATGAGAAAGGTCACTTTTTAGGAAAACTGCCAACATAATAAATATATCTGAATCCTGGAGTGGTGTAATAAAGAGAAAGACATTAAATGAGACCCTCAGACCCAGGACAGTGAAAAAAAAAAAGGCACAGAGATCTAAGAGCAGAGACTTAGGAGACTGCTAGGACTTCAGGTGCTAGCACAATTGTACAAGTAACAGGTGCCTCCAGGCCCAGACCCAGCTGCACACCCACACCTGGAACACTAGGTGGCACTGCACAGCAGATTTGGCAGAACTTGGGCAGAACACAGCTGCAAGGATAAAAGGAGATCTCTTCTTCTAAACTACATACATGGGCCAGGCATGGTGGCTCCCACCTGTAATCCCACCACTCTGGAAGGCCAAGGCAAGTGGATCGCCTGAGCTTAGGAGTTCAAGATCAGCCTGAGCAAAAGCAGAACCTATCACTACTAAAAATAGAAAAACTGAGGCAAGAGGATTACTTGAGTCCAGGAGTTTGACAGGTTTCTGTGAGCTATGATGCCACAGCACTCTACCCAGGGTGACAGAGTTGAGACTCTTGTCTCAAATAAAAAATTACTGCATACAGGCCGGTGCCTGTGGCTCAGTGAGTAGGGTGCCAGCCCCATATACCGAGGGTGATGGGTTCAAACATGGCCTCAGCCAAACTGCAACAAAAAAAATAGCCAGGCATTGTGGCAGGTGCCTGTAGTCCCAGCTACTTTGGAGACTGAAGCAAGAGAATCACCTAAGCCCTGGAGTTGGAAGGTTTTTTTTTGTTTTTTTTTGAGACAGAGCCTCAAGCTGTCCCCCTGGGTAGAGCGCCGTGGCATTACAGCTCACAGCAACCTCCAACTCCTGGGCTCAAGCGAGTCTCCTGCCTCCGCCTCCCAAGTAGCTGGGACCACAGG